CCGACAGTCTTAAGACGAATACCGATAAAATTGGTGACTTTGTCCGCCGCTCGTGTCAGTACTGGCTATGGATTATGTTATTCATTGTTTCGTTTACTTTCCTATGGATTGTTGTATTCATACGACTGTTTCCCAAAAAATATCATTAAATTTGTGTTAAGAAATGATTTATGAATTTTATTATTATTACGAATATTTTGTATAATATTTACATTATTTTTTAATATACGAGACAACGATTTAATGAAATAATAAGTTTATTTATGGATTGTTTTGTACCGTATATACTCTCATAAGAACACCGGTAATATTATGTGAAATCCAGTTAAAATGCGATTTTTCAAAACAGGGGTAATGTTACCTAGATAATATTACCCCCCTTTACTAAAACTTACATACTGTTACCGGTAACACTATGTGAAATTCAATTGAAGCGTATTTATTCATTCAAATAGCAAATGATTTTTATAAAATTCAAACTATATATTTAAGAAAATTCATAAGATATCTCTAAGTCCAGAGTTAAGAGCTGTCACCATATTATCATTAATGTCTTTATTTGAAGACAAACTAACAATTTGAGACATTTTAGTGAATGCTATTGAATGCATTTCGTAGGAAATTGATACATTTTGGCGTTATTTAATAATTAAATATTATTGTTAATGAGTCATTATTAACGAGTATATCGTATTCAATTCAAGCAATAAAGTGCAATAGTATAAGTTTTTAGTAAGATGTAATCATCATCCTAAATATAGGGGTAATGCTACCTGGATAAGATTACCCCCCTTTACTGAATTTCACATAATATTACCGGGTGTTCTTGTGAGAGTATATACGGTAAATTGAATATATAATGAATTAAATGTTGCAATCGGTGGTGAATTTGTATGTGATATGAAGTAAAAATGTAATTTAATTACAAGTGTGAACCTCACGACGACTGGAACACTTTTGGCACTGCACTTTACAACACCAGACAAACTTACAGTTGCACTTCTCCTCCACCTATTTATTCAATTTTACAAACCATTTAATTAACCATAAAATGCTATTAAACACCCTATCATTGTTACCTCTTTCTCCACTGTTTGATATCCGCGACCGCAACACAACAGTCGGCAGCCGTCCATCCCATAAGAGGTGGCATTACATTCACGACCTTTTGTGCCCAAAACTCCGACCCTAACAGTCAAACATTAGTTATTAAATAATTGATACAAAAATCTCATTCAAATCATACGATGAGTTTTTGAAACAAAAATCAGGCGATTCTTCCAAATAAACCAAATCTTTCTTCGACGGCCTTTTGATGTCTTTACGGGTCGGCCGAAGTCTGAACTGATGTTTTCTCTCAATTACTTTCACATGAGTCGCGCCGTCAAACTTGCGGACCAGTTGTTCGCCTATTTCTCTGAATGGTTTCATTTTTCTCCAGCAAACCCTTACAGTGCAAGAACCGGAAACGCCGTGACATTTGCACATTAACTCCA